AATTAGTTACGCCTGAACAGTCATTCAAAGGAGAGAGAATGTGGTTGCATCTTACACTGAGAAGATGAAGGAAGGAAGAAAAATTCAATGTAAGGCCCACTCCATTCCCTGAAATCATAGATGCTCTTCCTTCCATACAGAAAGGTTTTGGAGAAAGTTGCAAGGGAAAATTTTCTTGCTCTGTACCCCCTCCACCTTCATGAGGGAATTTCAGGAGTGGCTTGAACAGACCTGTGTGGTTACAGGAATCTTAGTTTCACATGTAATGATTTCTCTGAGTTGTAAAATAATGAAGCATTCTTTCTATTCCTGGCTACTCCTGATTTACTCAACATTATACAGTACATCAGTCTAGCCCTAATCTGGAAGAAGGGCGTGATAATTTATTTACCCCCGAGAAACCCCTACTGAATTTTCCAGTGGTAGGACAAAAGATTTTAGTAGGTTAGAATAGAAGCTCCTTGCTATGAACAGGAAACATTCACAGGGGATATGACATAATTCTGTTGATTACCTGGGACCCCAATTACTCTGTCTGCAGGCTGCACTAGAAATCCTGCGGTTTAGCTTTAGTTTCTCTCTTCCTAAGATGTTCCCTATTAGTGTAAGCACTAGGTATATAGTTCTGTAGGTGTGCAGTCAACACCAGGCAATTACGTTCCCTGCTTTAAAGAAGCTTTATTATGCACAGTGCTTACTTAGGGGAGAATACTGTCTTTGCTACTAAGTACAAAGGTAACGCATAATATCACTATACAAGTTTGACCAATGTAGAAGAGCTTTTATTTTCCCATCAAGCAAAATGTTTGGGAAACCATTTGCAGAATGGTCATTTGCAAAGCCTCTACTGCACTCACTTCAGATATTTAAGAACTAGGAGAATTCATTAGGAACTGCTATTCTCATTTGTGTCTAGATAATTTACGGGGACCGTAAAAGTTTCTTAGGAAACTCACATTCCTACCTCTGCAAAAGGTTCGTTCTTTCCATGTTTCTCCTGCAAACTTGTCAACATTTTGCTCCCAATTTAATCTGCATTTATATCCACTCAGGGTTGAATCCCATACAGTCCTTCTAGATGGGACTGTGTCTTTTAGAGATAAATTCTTCATTCTTGAAGAAGAGGATAGATCAAAGTGAGCAATGCACTTAAGATGGCTGTTGGCTTTGTAGTCAGTATCACACTAAAGAACTTCAAAATAAATGGGCTCACGTTTCCCAGGGCTTTGCTTAACACAGCAAAAAGGTTTATGGGAAACTGGATGTAAAGTTAGTGGCAAACATTATCTTTCGTATCAGAGAGATAATTAAAAAAAAAAAAGATGTAGTTGTCATTTTGCTAAGATGCAAAACTGACATCAAAATGTTATGTGGCAACACACCATTTATGTTTAATAAGCGCCACTAAGTCTGAAGAAAGAGACCTTCAAGTAGAAGAAGGGTTTGCAGCATAAAGTAGTTTCACACAAAAAAACTCACCAAATGCTGGATTAGAGCCAGAACACAGTAGTACTACCAGTATTTTGTTTTCTATTGTGAGGCATTATACATGCCCACAACATTTCAAATATAGCTGTCATGTAGTAGATTGATTACATTAGTGCAAGGCTTCTCAAGTGTTATGATACCATGGCTTTCTCAACATCAGGGAACTATCACTCTTACAGATCTACTACATTTTTGCCAGAAAATACAAGGATGATGACTTGAAATATGAATGCCCACAGTAAGGCACATGATTAATAACCACTGAGTAATAAAATCATTGCTGACAAAATATATCCAATGACGAGTTTAAATCTTTTCCAATGAAAAGTTTAAATATCCTCTTGGGAAAGGAGTCCTCTGTCTTGTTTCCAGTGCTGCAGAGGTGTTTTATTCAATGGCTTCTCAGGCAAGTGTTGTGAAGCGCTTTCAGCACATGGACAAGAACCAAGACTTCCCATTCTGAGACACATTCCTCTGTTAAAAAGGAGAGTGTGTACCTCTCCACTTAGTCTTCGTCCTCAAGAGTCTTGCACTCCTTGCTGAACAGTGGCCCAATTTCAAATAGAGTTCAGTTGCGTCGTGCTAGACCTTTCCATAGCTCAGTGGCTATTTCAGAAAGGAGGTACCACAGATTAAATTCCTTTAAGCTAAGCAGGACTCGGAATCCCTCTGCTCCATTTTGCTGTAACGATTATGTTGTGATAACACAGTCCTTACTTCCTACCTTCCTCAGAAGATGGTCTGGTGTTCACTCTCCCACAAAGAGGTGCAAGTCCCTTGTGAAGCTCTGAGTCAACTGCCTCTTGAAGCACATATTTCAAATGTATTGTGTGTTTTCTACGAGCTGACTCCAAATGGCTTTGCTCCTACACATATTAAAAGAAATGCAAAAATTGCCATGCACAGGCATAAGGAGCCCCCATACCATGAAGAAATAGCCTACATAAGGTTCCCGTACTGCTGTAAGGTGGGGTCTTGATCTTCTTGTTCGTCATCCTCATCTCTTCCTTCATATCACTACTGCACAACCACACCTACATCAGCACATTGCCCAGTTGTCTGTTTGAAGCATGCTTCATTTTCAGCTGGACCTTTTTACCCATCAAAGTCCTCAGATGGAGACTCAATTACAAATGCCTGTGCAAGAGAAGGGACAAGAAACCACAGCCAAAGGAAGGTGGATTGGTCCCTACTGAGACCAGTCCTGCATTCATCAGCTGGAGACCACCATGGAGCCACACACACACTGCACTCACCCTCCTGTGGGATCATCCAGCCTCGTCCATCGCAAAGAGCCCGACCACCTGCCTTCCACTGTGAGAATCACTCCACTGTGACCAAGTATCATCTCTTACGCTCAACAACTTTCAACTGAGGGACTAAGACCGGCAGGGAAAATGCTATAACTGTCATCAAAACTTTACCAAAAAGGAATTATACAGTCATGTTGTGGAAATGAGATCTATTCCCTAACTCTTCATTAAGACATAATTAATTGGGATGTTTTGTAGCATAATACTAAAAGCAACAGAATGATTACATCTACTAGAGCAAACTAGATTGGGAATATCATGGACAAACACTGAACAAGGAAATTTTTCTGAAATACGCTCAGTCCATGGTCTCATTTCTTCATCCCTTGAACTATGTGGTGCTTGTTTATAGTACTCAGTCTTAAGTCTTGTCTTCACAAGATGCACAGTAAAGTACCCCAGTAAGTGGCACCAGCCCACTGGAAGTACCAAATTACCTTAAAGAAACCTGAAGGGAGAAGTTGCTTCAGCCAAGAAGAATATGGGCCAGGTGATGGACTCCAGCTTTTGGAGTGGCTACCCCCACCAGCAGAGTCCTGACACTGTCCATCTCGTGGTCAGCCAGAACACAGCCCCATAACCCAAGGCAAAGATTCAACCTGACTCTAGAGATGGGGCTGGGAGGGGGGGAGGGTAACACCACCATATCCTGGCCCCTACCCTCACTATTTTCATGTTCTTAACATCTTTGACTTGGTGCCATCCCACTTGTAGGCCCAGCTGGGCTATGAAGGGAAAATAGCATCTGCCTTTTCTTCTAAGGCTTTTGGTCATTCTTGCTCATATGATTTGGCCTCCTGGATGTGATACAAGAGAGTACAACAAGCACTAAGTGCCTGTCCCTCATCTTCCCTATCCATCTCTCTTCCCAGCAAAGCTCCACAAGGCTGCACCCGCCCTGGTACTGGTTATTCACAGTACAAGCAGCCCAGACAAGAATTACTGCTGGCTCCTCATTGCTTTCAGTAGAGCTCTCAATGGCTGTCACTCTTATTACTGGCCCAAAGCACACAGCTACTACTGCTGTTGCCCTTCCCACATCAGTATCTCTGATACCTTATTTCTGTAAACTGCAGCCTCTCAACCTGCATTGTCCATCACCTGGAGGCTGCCAGGCAAGACAGCAAATATCTCACACAGGCTGATGAAAAAAGTCTTCATCAATTTTATCAAAGGCCACAGAGGAAAAGTGCAGCCCCATCCAAATGCCAGTTGAAATACATAGCACAGCAGGCCCTTGCCCCATTCACATTAGAAGTGCCACCCTTCTAGGCAACCCTATACTTCCCAGAACTTCTCCACAAAACCTTCAGAAAGCAAGTAAACCAAAAATCACTCATCCCCAGAAAACTTTTGAAAATATACCAGCTAGGACATAAATTCCTGCCGATTCTTTAACACC